CACAGTGATTAAAAATTTGAGCCATATTTAAGATGTTACAAATGGAAGCGTTGAACCTACCTGATGCACAAACATACCCTTCACAAACAAAATTGTCCTGAATATATTCCATCAAAACCCACCAGAATACACGTATTACATATCCCTATGAAATCCGGTGAATGAATAAGCAATGCATACAGCATACTTTAGGTTCTCTAAATATAGCTGTGATAAAAGCTAAAATACATTATCAGCAGCTAGCATAAATGTCTCAGAACCATTTAAATTAGACCTAATCTTCAGTCCAACCCACACAATGAAAATTAGTTCACTCATGAGGGCTGAGAAGGAACTCTTTTCCAATTTCTTCACCTAACAGAATTCAGTAACAGCCCTACTTGATTTCAGGGGTCCTTTTCAACCTCATATACCAAAAAAGTTCTGGGTTTTGTTTTCACATAGGATATTGGACTTTCTCATCCTCGTGTTAACCTAGGCCCTGGATGACTAACCCTACAGCTGACACAAACAGATGTTTTTATTTGTTTGAACTATTAGGTCAAAGGGCTAATGAGCTAATGAAAATTCTTTCAAGAGCTATCAAATGAGGCATGATTAGCTGGTTTTCAGTTCCTACTTACATGAAACAAAGGAATTAAAAAAGGATTCTGAGTTTACAAATCTTTCATTTCATTTGTGAAATGAAAGTGTTGGTTAAGAGGCAGATTTAAAAATAGTAAAATGAAAAAAGCATAGCTTAGTAGCTGAATCAGCAACTCCAGTCTGGCTCAGCAGTGCTGTACTTCCATCAGCTGTTACAACTTGTGTTGTTAGAGTATCTTCTATTCAAACAGTGTTTGATAGGACAACACTGAGTTTAATTCTTCCCAGAGTATATTACTTTGCTCAACTTATGCAGCTTTTGCTTTGTATGTGTACTTTGCCATGTCATTTATTTAAAAACATTTTCTAGTCTTATAAACATGTCCTTGAGTTTACTATTATGCAATGACTGTGTAAAGATTATTCTGTGTAAAGATTATTTTCACCAATAAACCTGAAAAATCTTTCAGATATATATTCCGAGTAACAACATCTTGCTGTGGAAATAAATCATCCAATTTTTTGAATTTTCTATTTCATATATGTGTGTGTGTAAATGTGTGACTATGTATGATGCAGGAATGACTTTACAGTAATGGTTTTCACTTATGAGTAAATAATTTATCTTGAAGATTCCAAATCAAGGTAATATGCCATACTCCCCAACACAGGACTTACTCAAAAAATCGAAACTTAGCAGCTGGATTCTACACAGTGTTTATTTTCTTTTTGTTTTCTTTTTTTTTTTCCTGATAGTGGAAATCATGTAGAAATCACAAACAGTACAAGTTCCCCATGTCAGCAGTTGACCACTTGATTTGATCAACCTCTGTGTACAGACACTGTATTTTTAGTATAAAGTCAAGATAATATGGCAGTTAACTAATATTTTTGACTACAGTAAAGATACAAACTTTTGTAATATAAATTAATTGCCATTACAAAAAGGCAACTGTATTAAGTAATACGGTACAAAAATCTGCAACTTCTATAAATATAATGAAATGCAAGAAGTTAAATGAAATAATACATCACAGATTTTTGTATAGCGCATTTGAATAGGCAAGCTAAGATACACATGGAGCATTATACAGCAAGAAAGAATATCAAAACCCACTAAGATTTAACTTTTATCCATACAAATGCTAGAAGTACAAGTACAGGACACAACATGGAAGCAGTAAGGTTACCAGCTCAGAGTGAGTAGACAAAGAAGTCTTACTGACGAGTTGTAAAGCATTAGGCAGCAGACAGAAGGTTGTCAAAACCAGCTGTTGTTGGATACTGATTGATAATGTTTTCATTCTGACGGCTGAGACACTGCAGACAGCCACAGGTCTGAGAAGAAACCCAATGTGGGCACATACACATACACACACATACACACACAAAGTAATTTAACAGATGGCTAAAGAACATTAAAGTACAATATCTTTCTTAAAAAGACAATGCTCACTACTTAATTAACTTGCATGGAAAGTAGAGCCTAGTGCCAAAGTTTATTCCACCTAAATTATGAACACATGTGAAAAGATAAAAAAAACCCAAAACCAGCCAAACAAAAACAGAGGCAATTGAGATTGGTTATCTGAATGAAAACGGCATGGTGCTTACATATTCTACAATAGCCAGAGCATTCAACAACAATATAGACAAAGAAGTGTGACATGAGTTCATATGAACATTTTTTATCCCCTCATATAAAGGTGAAGTTGTTTATAGACATTAAAAAGGTACACATCCATTAAGTCCACCCACAACACAAAACCACAGAAGAACTACATTCAAAATAAAGTTAAGTGTTGGTCTTAGCCTTCAGCAGTTATGAGGTATTGTTTCAACCTGTGGTGAGGAATGATCACTGTATTAGTAAGAATAAGCATTCTCAAAATAATTCTGAAAAATCTGCTTCTGTGCAGATGACATATGCCTAAAGAAAAAATCATTAGAGGATCAAAAGATCCTAGTCCAAGTGGCCACTTGCATATGACAAAACTATATTCTCTGCTTGGGCCTTTTCACGTTAGTCATGTAGCACCTTCCAACCGTGCATAGCAGGGAGATCATGATCAAATTGTAATTCAGAAATGCTAAAGATTTTGGACCAGACTCACTGATAATAGAAATAAGTACAGTTTCAGGAGTGCAATGCAGTTGACTTGTTTTTATTTGCTGTACCTTTTGGTCCATAACTATGGGAAAGAAGAGTGAAAACATTTTAAAGATGCTTTTTCACGTCTTCTAAATAACGGCCAATGAAATAGCAGTAAAAGCTCTGAATCCCTCATTTTGTCTCCCCTAATGGCCTGCCTTCTCTCAGAAATAATCCTCCCACTCTTCCTCACCACTTCTTCTTTGTCATTGTGCTTACGCAGGACAGAAACTTGGGGAGCTTGTGGAAATCTGGGGACTTTGTAGCTTCTAAGCTCACGACACCTAAGAGAGTGTTTGGAAGCGTAAATTAGATCCAGTTCCTCTCTAAATCCAGGGGAAGGAACCCACTTAAACCACACAAGAGAAACTGATGGGCAGCTGGGTCCCCACTAAAGCATGCAGAGAGAATTGAACAAAAGTAGGGCTCCTCTGTGCTTTAGAATGAACAATTCCAGTTCTTGGCTGCTTCCAAGACTATTAGGAGTGAGACAATTGACCTGGCAGAAAAGAGAAGGAAAACCAAAGCCAGGAGATGCTCTTCAGGTTTTCTGCCTATTCTATCTCAAAATTAAACATGGAATTCACCAGTTTTCCCAGCTTCTTTCTGACACTAGGAAGCAAGCTAAAACAGTGATCACCGGGCCATGCATTTGGGCAGAAATATTGGGAGAAATGCAAGAAATCCATGAAAACTGAAAAGTAAACAAAAATACCTATTAAACACATTTTAACAAAGAATATAATTGCAAATAATAGCGAAATGGCTTTTATGAGCCTTTAAAAGCTGATCTTTGCTATTTTCTTATCCCCAAATTAACTAGTTAGGAACTACAATAAACTTCAAACAAAAAAATAAATGCTCAGAGCAGAAAGATACGTTGCTTCAAGCCCTGAAAAAAGGCATTACGAGTTTCAAAACACAAGCAGAATTGATGAGGAACTAATGAAACACCACTACACTTCGTGTTTGTAGACACTCATGCACAAGGGTAGCTGAATGTGCAAGGCACAACATTCAAGGTGTGCACCAGTCCAGTGACTGGTCTGCACATACCCTGTTGTGACTGACTTAATGGTGAACCAGTGGCCTGGCATGCTTCTTGAATGGACAAGATTAGTTTATAAGGTTTTAAAAAAACAACAAAAGGCAGCCAAAATACTGCAAATCTACAGTGGGGGAAATGTGGAAATAGGAAATGCGCACGGTATTACTCGAACGAAATGGGCTTTTCTAAATGTATCACAAATGTTTCCAGTGAACACTTTTTTTGTTTTCTAAGTGACACTTAGCCCAAAGGAAGTTCAAAAGAACAAGATATAATCCCCTTGAAATGAGAAGCTTGCAGTACAAACACTGGAAGACCATTAACTATGGTAGAGATGCCTTAGCAATCTTATCACAAGAGTAGTAGTCTATGAAGAAGTGATAAAAGGAACAATCCTTATTCAAAATTAGTCATACTTCCAGCTAGGAATAAAGCCTCCACAGATGAACTAACAGACACTTGCTTTGCTTTTCTTATGGAAAACTACTTTCAGTGAAAATTATTACTTTATCCAACTTTTGTATATTTTCTGAAAATCTTTTTACTTAGATCACCTGTTTACGTCACCTATTTTTCCCAAATACTGTTTATCTGTGCACATCTGTTGGTTAATTTACTTTCCAGCAAACTTCCAGCAAAATAACCATTCTGCCTTTGGCAAGGTTATGCAGAGACTTTAGAAGAGGACTCAACTAACTTGTCAACTGTGTTTTCACTTTGTAAAACATAAGGAATAACCTTCGTATTAACATGAAACTGCTTTCCTTTTAGGTATCCTATTAAGGTTCTCAGTGGCTGTGCTTTTCCATACTGTGAGGTCAGTAGACAAGCTAATACAAATTAGACTCAAAAATCCTTAAGACATTAGTTATTTTTTAAAATCCAAGGTAACATGTAGAATTTCTCCTTTTCTATGTTATTTTTGTGCGTGTAAAATTTCGCATCAAGGATGATTGCAATGCAAGAAAGCAACATGCAGTGTGCAGAAACAGTGGTAAACAAAGAGGAACTTCCTACTTCAGTAGTGTAGACAACTTTACTGGAAATAGGTGTGTACCTGATTCACAGAACATTTATTTGAACAAAAGGACATTCCGCATTAACTCTGTATGAACAATATATCACAGCTCAGTCTTGATACCACACCATAATTAAGCTGTTAGCAGAATGAGCAGGTACAGTGACGCCTGGAGAACCACTCCTTTCTCTTGGGTTTCACATTCTTGAAGGTTCGAAGTCTCTCTCTTCTAGCAAGTTTATTAGAAGGGAGAAGCTGTCTTTTACTGCCTCCATATCATCCAAGGAGCAGGGTTTAAGAATCCAACGCTTTCCACGTGCAAGTGGCTCAAGTTCAAAATATTTTTTTATCTATTAAGACAAAAAGAAAAAAAAAAGAGACCAATATATTAATATTATAATGACAACTCTCTGTCTTACATATAAAAGCCAAAACAAAACAAAAAAAAAGAATCCCCATGTTAAAGACCAGGATACTCATTTTTAGAATCTTACCCACAGCTGCTCTTATAATACAGGTTATATGACATGACCTGAAAGTGTTTTCTTTAGGGGTGAGTGACCTGCTTGGAAGCTACCATTCTACCCATACACTTAGCAGCATGGGAGGTCCGGGGAAGAATTGTAAGGCAAAGAGCAAAGCATATGAAACACATGCTCAAAACCATACCCAAACAGCAAAAGTAACTAAGAGGTTTTAGGCTATGTTTGTAATTTAATGTTAAAACTGCATGTTTCTTTATACTCTTACTGGTAAACACTTAAAATGCAGAATGTGTCACCAGACTACTCCAGCTACACAAATCAAACATCAAAAATGTACAAACCCTAAACATTCCAGTCAAATGTGAGCTATAATACAGCATCTCTTAATGGATATAGAGAACACAAGAAAAATCAAAATTCTTCCAAAATCAGTTAGATTTTCATATTAAACACAGAAGACTAGCACACTGATGCTTTAAGACAGTAATAGTACTACACATGAGACATGATTCAGTTTCTTGGAAAGAGCAATCACTACTGACATTAATCAAAATTTTAGTCTTTGACAGTATTTGATCCCAAAATCTACTCATGTTTGACTTGTCCAAATAGACATTTAGCTTTAACATGCAAAAGTATATCCATCAGTACTTGCAACTGTCAATATATCAATAAAAATATTTAGCCCTGAGTTTACACATTCTTGTTCATTCTGATTATTGCCAAATATTCTTAATTTTCTTTTATCACAGTATGTGCCACAAATATTCAGCACAATGACAGGAACAGTTACTCATAACGTGGTAGGCAGCAGATGACCTAGACAGGGAACTGGAGCTACAGAGTGTAA